GGGCCCCATTTTCGTCCATAGCTGAAAAGAATGAGTTGGAATGTTTCTCAGGAAGTCCTCAGTGTCGAGTTTCTATTCAGGGAGGTGGAGAAATGTTCCTTCCAGCGTGTGAGTACGTCTTGTGTATCTGTTAGGGAGTTTGTATTATCAGATGCTAGTGGGATCTAGTTGATGTTCGTACTCGTCCAAATCGTTGTTTCGTTCCAGCATAGAAATTTCTGAGATCGCATGCATCTGCACAGCCGTGAAGTTCAACTGCTTTTTGTTGACAGTTCTGTTTTAGCTTCTGGAAATGATTCTATTTTAGACTGGATCTTTGGTCTGTTTCATAAAGTCAGACGAGCATTGTTTTTTGGCTTCAATCAGTTTGCTGATTCATTCAAACCAGTGATTCATGGTCTTGACGAAACTGATGACAGTATTTTCTCTTTCTGTGACTATTTTACGGATAGTTACCCATTCTTCATCAACAGATTTGTCATTGACTGGATTAGAACAAAGTTCCTGACTTAATTCAGCTTCAAAAGTGATTCAAGTATGAGGGTTCTGGAATTTTGAGACATTATATTGTCTACAAGATGGTGATTGATGTTTCATTTTTGTTTTTTGTTTTTTACGAACGGTAAAAAAAAAAATCCTGTGATGACAAGTCGATGATGTGTCCAGCTCCGGACTTCTTCAGGGGATTGGAATTTCTAACCGAACTCTTTGTTTCGTCCACCGGGGTAGATTGTTCTAGTTCCACGTGCCATGCCTCTTATAGATATCTCACTTTCAGCTCAGCTCTCTAAGTTTTGTTCAACTCTTCTGTGGCCAGGTAGTGAACTAACATCTACTTTGCTTCAAGTCAGTGGATTGCCAACGCTTTTATCCACTAGGCCATGTGTCATCAAGGTTGTGAATTCAATACCTGGTTACAGCAGCGGTGAACAAAAACTTGCAAAGTTGAATTATTAAAGGGTAACAACTGAAACTGAGAAATTTGGAAGAGGCATGACACATGGAACTAGAACAATCTACACCGGTAGATGAAATAAAGGGTTCGAAACGAATTTTCAATCACCTGAAGAAAGATGAAGATAACAGTCCGAGCATTGTAAATAGTGTAAATAATTGCAATACCTCATCTCAGAAATATAGACGGATTCTGAAGAAGGCCGGGGCCTGCAACGGCTGAAACGTCGTGAATATGGCAACAAAGATGAGGATAACAGCCCCGAGCATTGTAAATAGTGTAAATAATTGCAATACCTCATCTCAGAAATATAGACCGACATTCAAATTATAATATATGGTAATATTATGTAGGCGTTAAAAAACATCTAGAATTTAATTAAAAGTTTTAACTAATTTTGTATTAAAATGTTTAACTCATATCTATTTTAATATTATTTTCTTACAGCATTATTTTCGCCACAAAAGCCATGTTATAAAAAGCTACTTTTGATAAAACTATATAGAATAATAATTATTTTATTAAAACTCCTAGTAAGATTCTTCCTAAGGTGTTTAATCAGTATCAATTTTAATATTTATTTAATATTATACAAACCAGATTGTGTACAACTGACTGGATAGTAAGAACAAAGTATTACCATTTTAACTCACTTTGGGCACCTCAAGGCGGTATAAAGTTTAGCAAGCTTGTCTCGCTAGAACAATTACGACTGAGTAGTGAGTTCGATCCTCACTGTGTGCCCACTGTTTTCGGCCTTGTGCCACGTCTAAGCTACTGAGTATATTATGGACCGAGCGTGTGAGCATCAATGAGGTCTTGCAGAGGATGCAAACAAGGAGGAGGCTTATAATTAACATCAAGAAGAGACAGCTGAAATTTCTGGGACACGTAATGAGGAAGGAGGGCCTGGAGAATCTAATACTCACAGGTTGAATAGAGGGAAAAAGAGACAAGGGAAAGCAATGCGCGACATACCCGGCGGGCTTAAGCAAGTGGATGACAGAATGTGGTCTGACGGAGTTGGCAGAGGCACAAAACTTATTGAGAGCTACCAGGGGTAGTGGGGAAGTGGAAACTCATGATCGCCTACGTCCTGAAAGGACACGGCACATAAAAAGAAAGAAAGAAAGAAAGAATTTTACACTTTTTAAACTTTTTTCTTCTTTTATTATAACTCCTTTCTGATGGATGTCAGTAACCCGACATGGAGTTATTACCGGAATTTTGATCTGAAAGTTTCAACGCGTATTCTTCAACCTATATGAGCAATATTCACAAAGTAGAATCAAGTGCATTGACAAGGAATCTATACTGAAAAGGAAATATTTGGGGAGAATGTCTAAAATTGTAATGATGCTTCAATGTTGAATTAAAATTAATTTTTCTATCTATATATACAAATGAAAATCAAATGAAGATTATGCGCAAGGTGAACAGTATTTTTACTAATGGCTTACTTTTGATTTTTTCTTTTTTTGGAGTTGGATTTAAGAGCTTTTTTCATCAAAACCTCTTCTACCTTTAATTTTTTTCTCCCTCCAACACTTTATTTCTTCCCTAACATTTTATATTGTTTTTAAGATCTTTTTTCCTTCCTGCTTCACTCTTGATTTTGTTTTAGTCAAAATGACGAATACATTATGAACAATATCGATCTTACCATTAAGATTGTCTTGTTCCCTTAAATATTATTCACTCCGAAATCCTTACTTGCTTACAAAAAAACTTCCACAGAAAATTTAACAAACGAATCTCTTAACATTTTTACTTTAAAATCCTTTTCTTCTTCTGACCTCTTTTCTTGCTTTTTTCTTCCACAAACGCCATTTTCTTTCTCTTTTTCTTCCGTTCTGACTTTTGAATTTTTTTTTCTGACCTCAGATTTCCTTTTTCTTTGCCTTTTTTTCTTCTTCTAATCATTCTCTTGTTTTTTGTTTTTTTTTTTCTACTGTTTTTCTCTTAAATTCGCTCCTCCTCCTTTTTTCACCTCTAGCTTCCTTTTTGTTTTACCCTTTCTCTCTCTCTCTCTCTCTCTCTCTCTTACTCCGCCCTATTTTTTCTTCTCTAACTTTCTTTTCCTTTGGACAAAAGATTTTATTTTATTTTAACAGACATAATAACTCATTCTGTGTAAACAAGATGAAAATAAGTGAAAAATAATTCTTTGTGATTTAAGTTAAACCTGTTAATGCATTCAACCACTTACAGTATGAAACATAAATAGCACGCCCACAACCGGAATTTTTAGATATCCAGCACAAAAATTAATTTTACCTGTGTTGTAACAATCACTGTTGCTTTTTTCTAAAAAAAAAAAACAAAGAAAGAAAGAAATCTATAGCCGCAAATACTTACATCTTACGGGGCCCAACTAGTAATTGTTATTACAAACTATAAAACGAAATCTGCATATCTATTTTTAAAAGAAATCTATAGCCTAAAGTACTTACATCTTACAAGGCACAAGTTGTCACCAGTAGGAATTGTTATTATAGACTTTTAAAACGAATTCTGCATAAATTTATTGATATATATTTTCTATGTCCAATTATAGAAAATCAGTCAAGAAATCCAAAGATTAGAAAGAGTGCAGACAAAAATAAACTGTCAAGCCTTCAAATAGAAACAGATTTCATTGTCGTTAATTGTTGCAGCTATTTGAATTTCGTTTGATATATATATATATATATATATATATATATATATATATATATATATATATATATATATATATATATATATATATGTATGGAGCAATTTGTAAAGAGATCAAAACAAATTGGTATCCGAGGAAAAAATTGGAAAAAAAAACGAAAGAACTAGTAACATCCGAACAGGTTGAAAAAAAATCGTCCAATGCTTTCCAGTCCAAAGAAAAAAAATCCCAAGCGAGTAACCAAGATAAAACATAGATTGCTCAATAATTAATCCGGAGCATGTTCAAATAATCTATTAGCCATTATCAAAGATGTTATTTTATTTTACTTGTCTGAATATATAGATTTTACACACACACACACACACACGCGCATACATTTATATAGGGATGGGGATGTTTTTTTTATTATTTCTGAACACAGTCAGAACGTTGTTGTTTATAATTGATATTATTAAGAGTTGACTTCTTCTTCTTTTTTATTATTTACGATTCTATTATTTTTTACTGTTTTTTTTTTATATACCTGGCTGAGATTATTATAGGGGTATTTTCCACAAATATGTTGCGGACAAATGTTGGTAGGCTTCCCTGTCTAAATTGTTCCTAATAGAACTATGGTCTGAGAGATACAAAATAGGTCTTCTTGATAAGCATGTAGTTGTAAGTCCGATGTAATTTTTATTCATGAATTTATTTTCGTCAGGAACGCAGTTCCGTAATGGACACTTAGATTCATAAATAAAGTTCTTTTTCTGTACTTTGGTGAGTTTTTATTGTCGACGATAAGGTTGACCGTTTTATTTTTTATAATTGATAATTAACTTAATCTTCTTGTTCTGGTAAACTGAGGGGAACTGTCTACTTTTTTTATAATGTTTTTAAGGGCAAATTCACCCTGCTTATTATTAACATATTTTTTATTTTTATAGAAAATGTTGATATTATGGATTTTTCTCTATGTACAGTCTTACAGTTATGATCAGCAGTTTAAACAATATATATATATATATATATATATATATATATATATATATGAAGAAATATAGTCTTAAGGTGTACTATATTTATGGGATAAAGTGCTCAATATCACGGATAGAGCGTGTGTAAATATAAAAGTGAACATTGAAGTCAACACTTAGAGGCAACAGTCTGTTTCATGCTAGACGCAATCTTCAGGCCGCGAGTGCTGTTATTTTTCTCGGCTACTTATATATACAGGTCAGCTGTGCACTGTGGGTAGTCTATTTTAGCGGTTATTTTGCCGAAAGTCGTTTATTTTTTAATTTATTTATTTGGGTTAAATTATTTTGCTTGTCATTATTTATTTATTTATTTTATATTTTATCTTATATATTTATTTTTTTTATTTTTATTTTAATCGGTATTTTTATTAACGTAGTAAAAAATTTTTTATATCACTTATTTAATAGTTTTGTTTTGGTTTTAGGAAGATAATTAAAGCTATTTATTCAATTTTGGAGTTGATTTTTGTAGTTTATTCTAACTATTATTTTGTCAGGAGCAGTTTTTAATTTGTTTATTACTTCATGTATTTATTTGGATAGATTATCTTTATTTAGCGAACGGTTAATTTATCGGGATCGGTTTGTTTATTTATTTATTTATTTATTTGGATGAATTAGATTAATTTATTTTACTTGTTTTATTATTTTTTATACTCTATATTTTTATTTACTCTTTTCAGTTTTCGATTTTTAAGTAGTTTTTTGTTTTTGTTTTTTTATCGTTATATAACAGTTATTGATATTTTTTTCGTCCGATTTTTGGTTTGATTTTTATAGTCTAACTAATATTTTAGTCATAATGGTTTGTTAATCTGTTTATTATTTACTTTATTTATTTGGGTTCATTGATTTTGTTGTTTATTTTTTATTTATTTATTCTATTTCGTCTATTCTAACGGGTGTGGTTTGGCAATTTGTTTGGGTTAATTTATTTTACTTATTTTATTGTCATTTTGTTTATTTATTTATTTTATTTTACTTTTTATTTTATTTTTTCAGTTTTCGATTTTTAGTTAAAATAAATTAACCCAAACAAATTACCAAGTCATACACGTTAGAATAGATGAAATAGAATAAATATATGACGGATATACAATGTGATTAGTCCTGATCTAGCATCTCGTCTGCTGTCACTTTCTCAAAAACGTGCCGTCGCTTTCCTCTGTCTTTTCTATAAATACTCTCACGGTAACTGCTCTGATGAGCTACTTTCGCTGGTTCTCAAACTGCATGAATTTAAGCGTGCTACTAGGTTGGCATCTCAGTCCCACCCTTCCAATTTAAGAAAATGCTAGGCGATCCCTAAAAATTGCTGTGCAAAGGTTTTGGGCCACCTTGTACTAATCAAATCAGAGTGTTTTAAAATAGAAAGATGCCTATTATGAAAGTTTATTACATAATGTTCAGTTGATGAAGTTACCGTACATTGTTAATATTTCATGTGGCTTTCGTAAGTCTAAAAATTGCTTCATTGGAACGGGCTGCGTGCAAATCACTCACCGTTTATACAGGTATGATCGGCATCTGTCTGTGGCGCATTTTCCACAAGTATTTAAGATTGATACTTCTGGCGAACTTTTCTTTTTAATTATGTTCACAACTGCTCGATGATATTTAAGTTAGGGCTCTAAGATGATCAATCTGCCAATACAAGACACATTCATCAACCAGACTGCGTTTTGTCGCCCTCGATGTATCATGGAACTCCATCATGGTAAAAAAAAATTGCCTTCTTCCAAATGGTCATTCAGCAATAGGATGAATTTGGCAGTATGCCATGCCGTCAATTTTAACCAGCTTTCTTGAACCATCATATGTTAGGCGTCACTAAAACATCAGATTCTTACGCGAAAACGTCACTGTTTTCGCTATATAACATTTCGGGGAACGTCTGAAGAATTCTTTAAAATGCAGCTCCATCTTAGTTCCATTGCTTAATGTGATCTTATTCCAAGCATATGTTCATAGCTCTTTCAGCTAAGGCCTTCAAATGCTTTTAACTTGATGCTGGTGGTTTTACTGAAATGTCCATCTTGAGTTCAGATTCTCACGGAATCCATTTAGTGATATCTTCTGATACCAAAACAGTGAAGGCTTCATTGTCTTCTTTAAAACCTAAAGGTTTCATTCGTTTGAAACCATTTTTAATCGTTGTTCTGAGAAAACAGTTGCATACAGAGGATAGTTTAGACATTTCTGAATAAGTTAGACGCCATGTATAGGAGAGTCGAGATCTGACAAGGCTATTTAACATTTTTTGTTTTTATAGCATCTTACAGCATTGGGCAAAAGTATCCCCAGCGGAACCTATCCTCTGTTCAATTTTCTTGTTTCTTATACTAAATCTGTTATATAATTTTGTACCGAACATCTACTTCATTAACATAGCCCCGCATAATCGGTACAGTAGCCTCTGGAGGAAAAATTGAAACACAGTTTTCTATTAGATTCGCTTATGACGTGGTACTCTTTCTATCATTTAACCCCAAGCAAGGCAACAGAGTCCCTAACAGACAGGAGGTTAGTGAGTATGAAAGAATATAAGAAAAGCATTATTAAGGAGTGAGAACAATGAAAGAACAAGAATTAAGAAGACAGAAGGTAACGATTGACATGGCTTTTAAATTTTTGAAGATCAAACTTGACTGGAAACCAAAACATCAGAAAAGAGTCCCACAAGTGAGAAGTGCGAGAAAAGAAACTGTTACCATAAAACATACGGTGATATCTAGCCATTTCAGTTGTCAAATGATGATATCTTGCCGCCAATCTTGTAAGGCGCTTAATTTCACAGAGTCTAGGTACCCCTAGGTTCATCAAGCAATTACCATTAAAATATTTATCGAAAAGGCACAGAGAAGCTACATTAAAGCGACCGGAAAGTAAATTAAGCCGAGATACCAGGACAGGATCAGTAACATTGCAGATTCTTCTTTGGATTTGATAAAGACTCTCTAAATATATAGCAGGAGAACCAGAATATACGTGGGAGCAATATTCTAAGCATGGACGAATGGTAGACTTGCAGATTTGTAAGATAGATTTTCTCGGGGAAAATGTCTAGCAAAACACAGTGAACCAACTCTCCTAGCAGAAAACCTAGCAATCAATTCGATATAATCTTTCCACTTCATGCCATTGGAAAAGAAGGCGTAACGCGCCACTTTCTTGGGAGTAAAAAAGGTTCTCTAGAGTCATTTCTTCAGATCTGTGCTTGTAGACCAGCAAAGCAATTGAATTAAACACTTTAGGATCGACATTCACGCCTTATCGTACTCCAAAATAGGTTTGAAAACTGTCACTCGAAACATGATTTTATTGATCGATGCATTTCCTCTCACAGATCAAAGCAGTCAGTGGAGTTAAAACTTGGAAGCCAGTTTGTGATGGATGAGAAAAAGAGGTCTCTGTTGATGTGAGCATATGCCGTTACGAATATAGCAGGTGTCTAACTTCCTTTTTGCTAATAGATTTTACAAGTGTCACTTTTAAGGTCCTCGCTGGACATATGATTTTATGGATCGATACAGTTCCTCTATCAGATGAAAATAGTCAGTGGGGTCAGAGCTTGGAAATCGATTTGCAATAGATTAGAAAATGAAGTCTCTAGTGATGTGGATCATATGCTGTTGTGAATATAATTGTTCTAGTGAGACAAGCTTGAGTGACTCATTACACCTTCTCGTTTTAACGTTTACCACTGACATAAAGTAGAATATAAGGAATCAATTGCTTGATCTGTTGCTAAGAAAGTTGGTTCATTCTTCTAGACAATCTTTCTGTCAAGAATCCATCTTACACATTTATAAGTCTTGCATCCGTCCATGCATTGAATATTGCGAGCCTGGTGCTTTTGCTATGTATTTAGATATTCTTGATAAAATCCAGAATCTGCAATTTTATTGGTTCTGACCTGGCATCTCGGATTCAGCCACTTTGCCACCGCGGTAAGTAGCTTCCCTGTGCCTCTTCTATAAATATGTTTCATGCTAATTGTCCTGAAGAACTTTACTCTTTGGTACATAGACTTTATGAATTTAATCCCAGTACTAGATTAGCAGCAAGGTCTCAGCATTTTTACCGCTAGTTGTAACCGTAAGTTCTATGCTAATAGTTTCTTCTCTCACACTTCTTGTTTGTGGAACTCTCTTCCCTCTTCATGCTTTCCAGTCAACTTTCATCCTGAAAAAATTTAAATGTAATATCAATCGTTATCGTTTACCTTAATTCCTGTTTTTTTATTGTTCTCGCTCCTTAATAATGTTTTCTTGTTTTTTATACTATCTCACACTCAAAACCTCTAGCGTCGTAGTGGCTTTATTGCCTTACTTAGAGTAAAATGTGTCATTCGATGGCAGAACAGTGACAATGACAGGATGGTAAAGGAGGAAAATACAAAAGTAACAAAAAGCAGGAAGGCATGGAGAGCCATGAAAATTACTGCCTGTAAGAACTTGGTACATATAAGGAGTTATATGATACCGAAATTTTCATTCCACTTTTTATTTAAGAATCGAATTTTCTTCTTCCTAAATTTTGTTATGCTAATGAACCTTGTAATTATTAGTTGGTTGATCCGCATGCTCGTTAACCATTAGACATTACATTATTAATATCCAATGTTCTTAAAAAAGAACAAATTTATTTCAAGATGGCTGATATAAAATTGACTTCAAATACTTAGCGAGCCAGGCTTCGATATTAGATCGTTCCTCCCCTGCGACCATATCGAGTTTAATAAAGTTGTCAACTATTAAATTCCGTGATACGCAGTGATACAATTATGGATATTTCATAACAAATCAAAAAGAAAGAAAGAAAGGTTAAGAGAAAGTGATTTTATTTAAAAATGTTTCCATTTGGAAAGGTTGACATCATTGCATAGAAACCGACTGGCAACTTTCACGTCACAAATGACGTCATTGTTGTCCATGGTTACGTTTGCTTCACTGCAGAGGGCGCTCAATGCTATGACGACACGAGCAAAATAAGGAACTTGAAGTCTTGAAGCAATTACTGATTCCTTTTGTGGTTTTGTGGCTTTCCTCCTTCCTCTCTTTATTCTTCCTTCTCTTTCCTTCCTTCCTTCTTTCTTTTTTTCTTTCTTTCTTTCTTTCTTGCTTTCTTTCTTTTTCTTTGCTTGTTTCTTTCTTTCTTTTCCTTCTTTCTTTCTTACTTTATATTTCGTTCTTTTTCTTTCTTTCTTTCTTTTTTCTTTCTTTTTCTCTTTCTTTCTTTCTTTCTTTTTCATTTCCTTACTTGATCCTTTCATTCTTTCTTTTTGTTTCTTTACTTTTTCCTTCTTTCCTTCTTTACGCGTTACAATGCAACGAATTAAACTTGTTCCCCCAGAAGGATGTAAGCAGTACGTAATTACTCTGATGCTGAGTGGGTGTGAAGTTCAGCTTATCCATCAGAATTACAATGGGCGAGTCAGCTCAGTGCAGTGAGACGTTAATACGATCCACTGAATAACCGTGATGAAAACAATTTTAATACGATTCTTGATTTAATTTCGTAGTTTGTATGTTGTGGCCAATTTTAACTAACGTAGTTTTTAAAAACTTTGTTTTCATGCGCTTTTGTGACGGCACTTGATCCCGTTTAAACAAAATAACGTCTACAGCTCGTAGTTAATACCATATATTTTCCTATCCCTGTTATTGCAAAAACAGTTGCTCTGCCAACGAAGCGTTTAGCAGAGAATGACCGGTGGCCCGGCATGGTTTCCAGGTTGTATAATCCGCCGCCCGGAGTATTAAGATATATTGAACTTATCTATCCTCTCCTATATGGAGAGGGAGATGACAATGGACGCTGGATAATTATCCCGAGGTTGAAGAGGAGGTGAAGCGTCAGAGATGTTTTCCTATTGACGGATACTGAGAATAAAATGGACAGAACATATGAGCAACGGGGAAGTTGTAAAGAAAATGGAAAATAGAAAAACACTCCTATCTAAAACCAGAGATTTCTAGGACACATTATAAGGAAGGAAAGCTTGGAAAATATAACACTCACAGTGCGCATTGAGAGAAGGAAAGTTAGAAAGAAACAGCAATTTAGCTTCTGAATTTGAGCGAATGAATGGCAGATTGAGGCCGAAGAGGGGTGGTAAACAGTCAAACGTGGTTTGGAGCTACAAGGTATAGAACTTTCTGGAGAGCCATGTGCCCACCGTCTTGAAAGGATATAGAACGTAAAAGAATAATCTCGACCCGAAAACTGCTCTCTATTAATCACCACAGAGATCCTTCTCTGCCCTCCATTAGAATGTCTGACTCTCAACTTCTCGAGAGCACCTCTCTGCGGCTGCTCGGTCTCACGTTGACTGCTGACCTGAGATGGAACAAATACATTGAGTCAATTGCTTCGTCCACCGCAAGGAAAATTGGCTCCCTGTGCCGCGCCAAGAAATTTTTCTCCCCGGAATCGATCCTCCAGATCTACAAATCAACAATTCGCCTTTGCATGGAGTATTGCTGCCATATATGGTCTGGAGCCCCTTCTGTTTGCCTCGGGATTCTTGATAGGCTCCAGAGGCGGATATGCAATATAATTGGCCCTGCTCTGGCATCTCGTCTACAGTCACTGTTGCACAGACGCGCCGTTGCCTCTCTCTGTCTGTTTTACAAATACGTTCATGGCAATTGCTCCGAGGAGCTGCATTCGCTGGTTCCCAGACTTCATGAGTTCAAGCGCCCTACGAGGCTGGCATCCCGCTCTCACCCCTTCACTGTCGAAACTCCTAAATGTAGCCGTCTCTTCTACTCCAATAGCTTCATGTCTCGCACCTCTTGCCTGTGGAACTCCCTTCCCTATTCTAGTTTCCCTGAGAGCTATAATCTCCAGCTATTCAAATGTAATGTCAATCGACATCTCCAGTTGCCTTGATCTATCCACTACCCTTCTCCTCATCCTTTCTTCTATCACTCCTATCTGATCTTGCTCCAAATTTTCTGTAACCCCTTGCGTCCTAGTGGCTTCCCGCCTTGCTTGGGGTGAAACGCATAAAAAAAAAGATACCAATAGACTTTGTGAGTGTTTCATCACAGAATGAGAATGCCATTTGTAAATGCAGTCTTATTGCATATCTTCTCTTGTGTTCACACCTTTTTAGTTAATTTTTATGTATCCAGTCATCACCCCCCCACCTCGCAGATAAAACCTTATTTCAATGATATAAGATATACAGTACCTTGCCAAGGAATGATATCAAGATGCTGAGTTGTTAACTAGTACATCAAACTAAAATATAAAACGTTCTAGATGCTTTTAAAATATTAAGTCGAGCCAAAAATGATTTTTGTTTTTGTCAGGGCATGACGATAAACTACATCCAGCAGCAAGACTTATTATCGGGAAACTGGAAGTTTTGAGGAGTGTGAAACAACCTCTCAGTTTCTGTTGTTCCCAGGTCCATCCTGAACCAGGCTGGTAGCACCTGTTAGGGTCCCAGTTATGGACAAATAGTGAACCTACCAAACAAAAAGTAAAACACGATGAAAGTATAAAAATACATTTTTATAATAAAAATTGCAACTATGCATTTATACATATAATAAAATACCAACAATACATTTTATAGTAGAATTAGTAACAATGCATTTTATGGCAAAGTGACCAACAATAGATTTTATTTGTAGTTGAAGGCATACAATTGTGTTCAAAATATATTTAGTTGAAGTCATAAAATTGTGTTCAAAATATTTAGATTTTGGCATTAAATAACCCATAGAGGGGTTGATATGTCGCTAAACAAATTCGACCAATCAGTCAATGAAACCGATTTTGTTTATCAACTTTATTCTTCCAAAAATAAAGTAAAATCACATTTTATTCATTTATATACTCAGCATTATTTGCAATGAATGGTTACTACATCAGACGGTTTGCTTGATCGATTATGACAGAATAGTGAGTTCGATCCTCACTGGATGGCCCATACTTTTAGCCTCGTGCCACATCTAAACTGTACGCCACTCAAAGCAGAGGATTACTGAAGAAGGTGCTTGTGGGAGTGGTAAGAGTAAAGGGGTAAGATGTGCAGTTTATGAGAATATGTGGGAAAGATAACTCTTAACCTAGATACGTCCACGAGATCGCTAAAAAAGAGCATGGCATGAGGAAAAACACGCCAAAATTGACGAAAACAAAATTTTATCGTCTAAATGTTTATATTATTATTAAGAGGAAAGATCAAAGTTTATCTTAATTATTTTTCAAATTTTTTCCTTCTTTTTAGAACATTCAGCATTTTCACTTAAAAATCCTTGTTTTTCTTTGAATCATCGGAAAATAGAATAAAATAAACAATTTTTAGCACGTTTTCTTTCTTTTTTTTTAAAATTAAATTAATTTGGAAAATCTTGAAAAAATAAAAATAATTGTCGGATGTTAATGAAACTTTCAGAAACTATTCACAGATGATGGAAATCATTATAAATATTTTTTTTATTAAAGTCATGGCAGAAATATTTTTTCATATTTATTACCCACCCCATAACTAATTTAAACCAGTCTTTCGTGAGCTTAGAAGTGTGTATAGCTGTGCTGTCCTGTTGAAAATGGCATTATTGATGTCTAGACGATTCATATATGGGACAAGCCTTTTTTACAACACATTGATAAATCGAGCAGAGCTTTTTTTTCCTCCCATCACTGCTAAATCAGCCTTTCCAGACGTAGAAAAAGCTCCTGAAACCATAACAGATCCTCCTTCAAATGGTCTTTTTGAAAACAGCTGCTGCTTCTTTCTTAAACCATGGCAATAACACTGGTAGCGGTCGGATCCATCCAAATTAAACTTTTTCTCACGGTTTCCCAATCCTCCTTTGTCCATGTTACTTTTTTCTTTACCCAATCTACACGCATCTTCTTGTGTTTAGCAGTTAAAGCAGGGTCTGTCTTCCTGTTTCAATACACGAGATTTGGCGATTCATGGAGAAGTTGACGAACTATTCTTGGAGTGATGGGTAAATTCTGAGATTTTTGCAGATCTCTTGAGCTTGATTGTCCTTTAGACGCTTCACGAAAGAGTCGACGTCTGGCTGCATTTGTAATTTTAGGTGAACGACCTAAACGTTTTATGGTGCCATACGATTCAATGCCCTTTAGATAATTTCTCACAACTGTTCGGGACCTCGACAGTTCTCTTGCAACGAAATTTATAGATTTTCCTTTCAATTTATAGACAGACATTTGCCCTTATTCATTTTCATTAAGGGGGGAGTTCCTAGGCATTTTGCAGTAACTGTATTCAATTCTGAAATGTTTAAATAGGACTCACATGGCTTAATATCATGATAAAAGTCTTTTTATAATCTGCGCATGCACTTATTCTTCCTTTGGCATCCTGAAGTAAACCAGACATGCAAATTTTCAAAATTGTCTTATAATTATTTCCAGCCTCAAAAACGAAGTTTTGTTAATAACTTTATTTTTTGTTGGTGGAAAGTTGTTATAAAATCGAATGTGTATAATAATACCCATTGGATCTAGGTACCACACACTGATAAGAAAATTATTAACAATATCATGGGGTGTCTTATATTTATTTCTGTATTTAAGGAATGGTTAGTAAGGATAAGACATTCGTCATTTCTTACTCAACCTATTAGTGTTTGGTGTTGGCAAACTCTGATGTTCCGTTGTGTAGCTCAGTCGGTAGAGTAGCTGATATGGTTCGAGAGGCTTCTTAATCCGAAAAGATAAAATTCGTGTCTTTTTAACAGCCTTTTAGTTATCTCCAATCGGTACTGTTTACTAACGGCCGCAGATTAAAGGTCTTTTTTACAGTAAAGTTCACCCTGTATAAGGCCCGGGAATCACTCCTGGTAGAGGGTTACGTTATGTTAAACAGACGAGTTTATACGAATAGGAGGGGGAGATAACGGTTAATCGTAGATTTGAACAAGTTAAGATTGTAGTGAAAATAAATGAAAATCTCAGTTTGAAATTCTTTTAAAAATCAATTATCATTTTTTCAAAACTTATTTTAAGAAAATCAGAAATTATGATGTTTATTTAAAATATTTTGAACCAAGCTTAACTTAGCTTCTGCGCCGAAAAGATGTAATTTGAAAATAAAACAAAGCAGATCACAAGAGACGAGTTTATACGAATAGGAGGGGGAGATAACGGTTAATCGTAGACTTGAACAAGTTAAGATTGTAGTGATCGGGGAAACATCTTCTTGGAAGTCGGTTCCACAGAGCAGTGGTTCATCAGAAGATGCTTTTCGAGTGGAACTTACTTCTCGCCTATGGAATACGGAGGGAATGTGGGTGATTTGATAGTATGTAAGTGGCATGGCGGGTCCTAGCTGTTAAAGTTAGAACTGGCGGAACCAAAAAATG